TTCAAAGAATGGCTTGGAATTTAGACATGTTGAAAATATGAAAATATTTCTTTTGATTAGCATTCACAAAATTGAAAAGTGTTTTTATGAACTGGGATGCCCTGGGTTTAACATGTTCGCTGCCAGCAACAAGTATATACTCGTCCCACAAGTTGTTGCTGAGGGCGCTAGAAATTACTGTACTTGTCAAAACCTAGATGCACCTAGACAATAACATACAAATAATGTATATGTGTTTGTTGTGTTATGTTGCAGGCAGTACAGAAGACTGCACATGTGGGAATGCCCTCTGAACATATACCAACCCATGATAAAGGTCTGTTACGCCCATTCCCCAAAATTGACCCAATTTTATATACCATAGTAACTATGGTATATACTGAGTAGTTACTGATACCGTGGTAGATACTGCCAGTAATAAGAGAAACCTGAACTCACAGAGCCTGAAAAGAGATGGCAATCTATACAAATCAGTATTATGTTTGCATACTCAATGAGCTTAGAAAACTATCGATGTATTGATCTTATCATTTTGATGATTGTATCCAGAATCATCTACTGAGTAATTTTGACAATTCAACAGGGTTTCGCATGAAGTGTTACTTTAATACAAAAAGTGACATTTATTATTAAATATTTTGAGTCGATAGATTGAATTGTATTTTAAAAATTACTTGTTCAAATCTATAACGCAAAAGTCAAGGTATTAGTATTTTTATTGTAGGTATTTATAATTAGATTCAAGTTAAACAGGTTGTAAATGACAAAGCTGTACTTTTCTCCTCAGAGCCTATTTTCTAAGTATGCATTCCCATCAATTCTAAATCCTAAAGATATTAATTATGATTGAATAAAATTTCATTAGCATCACCATGTGTTTGCCACAATTGGGCTACATATATCAAGAGGAAACAGTCATTAAGAAACTGTAGGTAGTGGTAGATTTTACTACAAAGGAATGGGAATTCCGAGTTAATCAATGCACAAGCAGCAGTTACCAAAGAACGTCCGTGAAATACAGTATGTATAAAAAACACAGTGAGCATGTGCGTGGAAAGGCTAGACAGCCAGTGAGCGTGTGCACTGAGTGAGTGACGTTGTTGAGCCATGTCGAGCATGTGCAGTTATCGAAAAGACGTCTCAGGAACCAAACAGTGTCCAGTCAAACTTTTTTATGCAACAATTAAGCATGCGTAACTCAAGCTAACGCGATCATGCATGGCAATGAAAATAATGAGAATTCCGGTCGAAAAGCCTTGGCTATCAAAGGCCTACAGTGCATCATATAATCGTCAAGGAGAATTGTTATTAAATTATCGCAAACAACAGTTTATTTGGCTCTATCGTTGTACGTACGTATGCATTGACAATCTAATAAAAAATAACCACAGAAACTTACACCACAACAATGTTTGTTTCCTTAGCACCATTTATCTTGGTATAACATCCCTTTTTTTTTTGTGGCTACTGTTAATGCTTGACCGCTTTTTGTAAGCATAGCTCCTTACTCATCATTTAAGCAAGCGATGTTCCGTATTAATGGGGCTGTGGTGTTATTAGTAGAAAAAATGAGTAATTGAGTGAGGAAGCAGAGATACAATATTTAATATGTGCAGGGATTGAATTCCAAAGTGTTGATGCTGCAACTGATCTAGTGCACTTGTCCTCTCTCAGAATGCAAAGAATAATTATTTATTTATTTATTTATTTATTCTTTCTTTATAGACTGCAGGCACTTCCAGTACTTGTGTACTGTTTTCCAATGGGATACAGTCACAAATAAGCCATCAAAATCGAAAGAAAACAACACACAAAACTAAGTCAAAAGATAATTCCTTGTAAAACTTAAAAATTAATAGAATTTTGCAATGAAACTAATGTCATTTCTTTGAAGTTAATTTTGTTTCGTTTGGAAATTCATTCCAACTTTTGGTGTGCAATATAAGAAAGTTCTTTTACCTTGGCAAATATTCCAAGGAATTGAATCATTACGAGTGTGCGTTTTGAATGTATATTGTGATTAAAAATAAATTTGGATGTTAGGTATGGAGGGGCATGCCCTTTTAAACATTTCAAAGTCATAAGAATTAATTTTTTATTCTATCTTACATTGAGTTTTCTCCAGTCAAGAGAATTTAAAATCAATAGAGGTCTTAATATTAGGTGATTTGGAATAGATCCAGAAGCATATTAGGGAACTTACGATTGCAAGGCATTAGGACATAGTTGGATTGGATTGGATTAAATTTATTCGGTGTGTACACCAAGGATAGCCCACAAAAATCTAGAAGACTTATTCCAGTGGGGTCCTGGTGGTTGTGATTGGGTAGTACACTGGTATACAATCCCTGTAAAGAGTTTACTACGTTCTTACATGCACAAGGGCCATAAACAAACACAGGACCAATGGCCTAAACGTCTCATCCGAAAGATGGTGCGCTATTGTAACTTGTATTTCAGCCTCCAGCGATGGGAATAGAACCGGGGACCTAGAGATCTCCACAGTTTAGTGCACACATAGACTTAACTAAAAGTCATCTGCGCATGTTTGCACAATTTGGCTAAATCTACGTACAGTATGCAGAGAATGTTTGACGACTGGTAGGACAGTCATGAGTGATTCCGTTCCAGCGTCGCGTTGTCGAACAAATCAAAAGAACCCTTGTGTGTGCTAGTTGATAAGCATGTGTAAGGATCTTGAACTAAATGCTTGAAATCAGTTGTGAGACAGTGAAGCTGCCATTGGACAGTTGGGGATGTGAGAGCAATGGTCCATGAATGTTGTAATTCATGCAACTTAGTTCTGAAGTCTGTAAATTTCAGATTTTGGAAGTGCATCAAAAAGAATTTTAAAATATATTCTGTATCAAAATACATTTGAGATAATCATGAATGACGGATGAAGTGGTGTGTGAAAGTAGAAATAATAAGTACTACAGTTTGTTATTTGGGTCATTTCATCCCATATTTTATTTTATTATCTACTATTGTGCAGCATTATGGTACTATATGAACAAGTTAGATATATGTATGCTACTGAACCAGTGGGAGTTTTTTCCTCAGTGGTTGAAGCTCAGGAGTTTGAAGTGGGGTTTCAAGTCTTCACTGTTAGTTTTGCTTATGTCCTTGCTACTGTCTACCTAAGTATATAATTGGTAACTTGTAGGGCGTTGTGACATTGAATGTATTACTGTAGTTATATGTGCTGAGTTTGGCTGTGCGACTAGGCTCTTCAGGGGACTGAGAAGGTGTATTTTTGTGCTGGTTGCCAATAACCATCGCTAAAAATGTTCTCTTGCCATAGATCATTGTT